GTTATTTTGAAGGAGAGGGTAGAGATGATCGAAATGATATAAAGAATTTACATGGTATCGCCCAAGAGTTCAGAATTTTGGGATACTTTGTTGATGTTGTGAGGATTTTACACAGGAAAAGAGTTTTCTAGATCTTCGAAGTTGGACAAAAAGGATCAAAGAAAGTGAGGTTTTCAATATACAATCAAAATTTATCGGTTTGTCAAGTAATGAATGAAAGCAGTATTACTAGAAAAGTTGTAATTAATGCTAGGAAAAAGTGACTACGTAGAAATAAGTTAAATAGGTACATGACAGTACAACAAACAGAACAAGATTAAAAGATTTGGAACAAAATTCTTTGCTTTGAGATAATTTAACCCTTTGAGCCCTAATCACTGATTTACCTGTGGTAGAGAAGAATGGCATAATGCACAGCCACCGGTTGAACAGTGGTAGAGAAAAATGACTTAATGCCCAGCCATCGGTTGAACGGTGGGTAAACTATTTTTATATCTACCGTAAAACATTACATACCAATTATTTGCGAATTTTGACTCAGGGGCTCAAGCAGAAGGGTTAAATTTCTTCAGGAACGCAGGGGTCAAAGGGTTAAATAAGGTCACAGTGATATTGATTCACAAAAGAATCCAATGATTGATTTGTTTTTTACGGCTTACCAATCCACTTTTCATTACTTAATGCCGAAACATATTTCGGATTGTATGAGGTCGCTTATAGTGCCCGGTATTCCCAAGCGGACTCCATCCAAATACTGACCAGGCTCAACAATGCTTAACTTCTGTAAACATTTGAGACTTGGTGTTTTCTGGAAAATTTGAACGTAAGCCAAACGAATGTGAGAGATTATGTCCAAAGACCAGTTGGCATAATAAACATTCCAAGAAATACATTGGCTGATTGATTTTTTACGGTTCATCAACCGTTTGTGACTTATTTAAGGCCGAAACATATTTTGTATTGTTAGAATAATTCTTTCTTTTTGCGAATGGATATTGCATTAAAAATCTTTTAAGAATAACAATAATTTTTTTCCATATACAAGTCTTACTATTTAGTCCACAGCTGGGGGAGAAGGGATGGGTCCATACGTTTTTCAGTGATATTTGCGCGTAAGTGAATGTGACGATCTCCACTTGAATTTGAACGCGGCTTTCTGATTTCTCATTCTGAGCAGCTATCCATTACACTATCCGCATATCCCTATGTTATGCAACGGACACTAACATTTAAGGGTGAAAGTCTAATGACTTGGGCATTTATCAAAAGATGTGGTGCAAGAAAGTTGTCAATCATCAGAGTTGATAAACATCTGCTATTATCAACAATAGCAGAAGATGAAATATTCACTTTGACATTCAACAAAACAAAATCTTCTTTACCACATCGATCTAAGGCTGTAGGTTATGCCAATAGGAAGTCAATTAAGTGCTGTTCATGATTTTAATGCCTCTAAATATTTTTAAAAAATTTTAATGGTACCATTTCTCTTGCAGTTATTAAACCTATTTCGAGCATTGCCATGCATTCGAATCCGTAGCGTTCCTCGAACTGTATCGATATGAATTCGGCTACTTCCACTACAGTCTTAAATAACCATAGATACTATTGCTGGAATACATTTTCGATCACTTAGGGTTTCTAGGTGAAATTAAAACATCTTCTTTAGTTCGTTTCTTTTTCGCGCCTCCGCACGATACAAGATATAACAACCATACACCAAATACCCACGTTCAATGTGTTGAAAATCCTCTGTCCTAATTTGGTTATGTTAGTCGCTTTGATGTGAGGTTTCCACGTAACTTAAGCAACAATTACAAAATGTCAAGGCTAGGATTTTTGCTTCGTAGTATTTTGAGTTGTTCTAGTAAGTGCTATAAAGTATTTTTGTATTATCTACTAATATATACTTCGAGGTAATAGTTGTATTTTGGTTATTTGTGGTGTAATGACCGACATGTTCACGAATTGTGCTAGATTTGATAAGTGACAAGTTAAGCTACGAGTGTTATGCCTGTATAAGCAATATAAGAACTGGATTCTTTTATTTCTATTGATCTTGAAGATGCTATATGCCAACACGCTTATTCATAAGTAACACTTTTCTTACATAAGAGGGTTGAATTCCCAAATTATTGGTAATGTAGTGCATTAGATTGTAGTAAATGAAAGAGGACTTGGATTCCATTTCATTTTAACTTTGATCATTCACACGCCGTGGCCGTAAACATATATATATATATATATATATATATATATATATGGCGGAGGAGGAATGAACACACCTCTCTAGAAGAGGATTTTGGACCCGTCCAAATACATAAATACGAACACCGAGAATCGTTAGAAGGAGCAAACAAGTAGAGATTTAGAGATCCAGCTTATCTGCTTACTACCTATTTCAGCAAGACTACGTCAGCTCCAAGCGACATACTACTTCTTGTTTGTATTATCTTCAACCAAGGGCAATGATGACATAACAATATATATATATATATAATGGGTGTAGGTTGTGTACAAAACAATATTCCTACTCTCTATTTCGGCTTTGTCCTAGATGAAGCTAAATTAGATAAATGGTTAAATATTTTTTACAATGAAGTTCACTTTGTATGAGGCTCAAGAACCACTCG